CAATTCTTGTTGATAAGAGACATGTACAATTAGTAGCAGCCACACTGAACATGTATGGGGTCAGTGATTTCAATTTCTCCACAGGTTAGGTGTCTGAAGGCACAGCTTAACTACTTTCCAGCACAAACAGCCAGTCTAATAAAAGGCGCTTCCTTTCTCCTCAAACCCAGCCTCTCCTTTCAGAGCACGGCCAACACGGTCGCCTGCTAGGAAGAAATGTCCCTCTGCCCCTTCTCCCTGCCACAGAAGGGAGAAGCAGTGCAGATCCCCTTGCTTCAGGCAGGCAGGCAGACTGAGGTTTGCCTTTTCCATCAGATATGTCTTTCGGTTCAAACAGCTCTCCTCCCATCCGCAAATGAATGAGCCAAAGAGTGAGTTTCATTTGCTGATGGAATACAGAGAAGAGAAGATTAAAAGAAAAAACAGCCATCAATTCTTACAGCCAGAGCAGAGATTTCACTACAGGAGACAGGCATTTAATTCTGTCTGCCCTAACGCTGCGCAGAAACCTATTTTTACCATCACAAAGCGCTTGACTGACGATCCAGATAGAATTTTAATGTGAAATTACAATTGAAATTTCACTCTTTTCACAACAATAAGGATTTTGTGATAAGAGATCATTTCAATGAAAAAACCACCCACCTATTTTTCTTTGTTTCAAAGCAGCCTGGGGATGCGACCAGCTCTAAAATACCAGCTAGTGATCGTGACAGATATGCCTGACTACCGAACACCAAAGAAGTCAGTCCCAACCTAAACAAACGTAAGGTTATTTTTAGAAGCAGAAGAGCAGATGGGAGTCTCAGTTGCTTGTGAGCACACATGCCCACCACTGAGCCTTTATGAATGGCTCCTTACAGATGGAGAAAGAATTCAAGAATCTGCTGCCACTCGGCTCTTTTTAGCAGCATCACGTCATCCACTGCAGGGCACGTACCCCTCTAATATCCCAGACAACCTAAAGGTCCTCCAGGAAAAAAAGCTTCTGTCACTGAGCTCTGCAGCCAAACACGCAAACACAAATTTTATTTGTTTGGGTCGAAGGATATGACTTTTTCACTCTTAATCCTTATTTCTCCTAATTCCTTTCCTCTCCCCACAAAGACATTTAGCTAAATTCTGACCAAGGTAGTGGGCTCACGGTAAACACAAAAGTAAAAAAATGAAAATACATTTTCATAAATAAACAAGCCTTTCCTAAACTGCATCAAACGTGTAAATATTGTGTAATGCTGAGAAGCTATGGTGCTTAAAGCATAGGGCAGATCCTTCAGCGAAAGAAATTCCACTGGATACTGCATCTTCTACAGATTTTCTTTTTTAAGTGACCATTCATTTAGAAATAAGCTACTTTAGGTACCTGCTATAAAAACTAGGGGGGAAGGGGAAGAAAAAATTAATCTTACAAGGTCTTTGATAAACTTGACATATTCTGGAACACTGAAATAATTCCCTAACATTCTGCTGAAGTTTCTGAAGTTTGGTATTGTGTATGTAGAGAAATGCTAGTAACCATTACTCATAAAATCAAGCTTATTGTGGCACTCACTTTGCCTTACTTTTGATCAGAATTAAAGCTTCATATTTTATATGAACTCTTTAATTTACACCCATAAAGAACTGTCTTGTTCTAGGGAAGATAATTCCTAGATATGTTCATCTATGATCTATCAATAATGTACCAAAAATATTTACCCAAAGGATAAAACAGTAAAATAAGAGTTAAATTTGCACTGAAAAAGAACGGGTTTATTTCAATCATCCATCCTGAAAATCTATTCTTCGGGATGGAAGGGACTGGAAATATTTATGTGTATTCTGTATGTCAGAGTTCCTGTGATAATAATCCTGTGGTTCAAAGTTAGCACTTCCAAGAAAGCCATCAATTTATCTCTGCTATTGCACGTGTGAAAGCAAAATAAAAAACTATCTACAGACATATTTATATTGGAATTGGTGCTGCTGGGCTCCCGCTGTTCCTTGAGTAAGAGCAACTAAAAATATTGTGATTCTTATTTTCCTTTTCATTTGCACTGAAGAGAATTAAAACAAGAACTATGTTTTTCCAAGATATAGCCCACAAAACCAGCCAAGTATTCTTCAGCCATAACCAGCTGTCTTTGTGCACCTACGCTACACACCTGCCCACCAGGTCAACCTGCCACGTGAACTGGAACCGGCAGCTGCCTGCACCATTGCTGAGGAGAGCCCGGTGCAGCTCAGGAGAGAGAGACAAGGCTGCGCATTGCCCACTTTCTTGATCTCTGTTGGTTTAGTTTTCAAAACAGACAAACAGAAGGCTTGAGGACTAAGATGGCATTTGATGACTTACTGTTCTTTCTGCTATGTGGAAAAGAAGGGATCTCTGGCTAGAAGTCATGCTGAGAAGGAGTTAAACCTTACCAGATGCTTCGTTCAACTTTGAGTAACTCGAGCAGTCAATGAACTGTGGTTAATAGCTGCCAGAAATAAAGGTCACGGCTCATGACGAAGTCCTTGTCACAGGTCCACCACAGAGAGCACAATAAACTGTGACCAAGCCACCAGTCAGCCCCACAAGACAGCTAGGCTCCTTTCCATCTGCACCACGTGAACACTTACTGCAGATTCGAAGAGCCATAAATAACTAACTGTCAAAAACACTTTGAGTGCATTGCAGGATTGCCTACGTATGTCTACAGATGACACTACTTTATCAGGTGAAGCACAAGAATCAACAATTAGCTTGACGCCTGGGAGTCTCATGTTGGAATAAGTGAATAAACCTAGGCATGAGGATTATTTCCATTTCATGCCCTCAGCACAATTGCCTTTCAGCTACTCAAGACTTTGGTCTTGGCCCTTTTGCCACCCTGACTCCATGCAGCGCAAAGAATCAGTGTAAGGGTGGTGCCTGCACCAATTAGTTAGTTGCCGTTATCAAACACAAAGTTATTAACCTTAGGACTTGGTAACTCACTAGAGCTAAGGGACAACTGCTCGCACGAACGGAAGAGAATCACCTTCTGACAGCGGGCGCAAAGATGACGAGTCTTGGTCCTCCTGTTGATGGAGCACAAATGCTTTGTGGTACACTGAGCTTTTGTATTGCAGAGAGGCCTGTCAGCCTCCCAACACCAACAGCAGAATCCTGGTCCCCACTGAACTTTCAGGCAGCCACCCCAGTACACAACAGTGTGCTTTTCCTGCAAAAGGTTCAAACTCACAGCAGTTCCCTTTCACCGGCGCACACAGAACAGCCGTACGACTGCGGCTCTGGAAATGATGCTTGACCTCGGGTTTCGATGCTGCGGCTTTGTCACAAATGCAGGAAGACTGACATGGGAAACGCTGCATTGCACTGCCCAAACATAGAACACTTGCTGCACAGCTGTCTCTAGCCCACCGTTTGTGTTTCACACTCCAACATTAAAAGAAAACCCAACACCTCAGACATGCACTGCATTCTCAGCTCTTCCTTTTGTTTTGCAAGCCTAAGCAACACCAGGACTCAACAGCAGGTCATTGTCCGCAACTGATATTTTGCCAGAAAACATGCACAGCAACACGCAAAAGAAAATGAGGAGACCTTTCTTCATGCCTGCTCCAGGCCTCATGGCACACAGGGACTATGATACGAGGGCTGAGAGAGAATTCCCCAGTGCAGACGGTTTTACGGAGGTCTCTGCTCATGCCAGTCACGCAAGAATCTGTTGACCAGACACAGGTAAGGTTGCGACACACACTGTTGTGGCCATACAAGTGTAGGCTTGCACGCAGCATGGAGGAGGCGACTCCATGTATGTGCCCTTCAAATACCAAGAACATTTGCTTTTGTTCCAAACGAGCAGCAGGCTCAGCAGAGATCCCCCCATCCCCAAGAGCAGAGACACGAGAGATCAGCTCAAGAAGAAGGCTCAAACCAAGGAAAGGCCAAACTTGCTGCCACAAGCACCGAAGAGCAGAGATCTCTTAGGTGTCCTAAATATACATGCTTGCAGGTGGGAGCTAAAAAGGCTGAACATCCCACCTGAAACTCTGACCCAGGGCTGCCCTGGGGTAACTAACAGGCCCAGGTTCCCAAGCTGCTGTGACCCTGAGGGAGGCCAGCTGCAGTACCTCTGCCATGGCAGTAACTGGTGCATGTGGCGTGAAAGCAGCACGTGCTATGCACAGCTCCTTTGCAATAATTACTTTGACTCTTCAACGAAGAAAGAAAGAACCAAGCTACATAAAACACTGAACAGCACACAGTATTCTTACTAAAGCATGAGTATCTATACAATTTCCTAATCAGAGGTTGGGTTTTTTTAAAGAGATTAAAGTCTATTTACAAGTGACACGGTAACTTTGGATCACCTTGTGTATCACGCAGTTAACACCCCTCTTCATGACACCGGTTTCTGCAAGTCCCAAACTCCTATAAACCCACACCATACATTGCTCAAAACCAAATTTTGGCTAAACAGTTTTGGCTTCTTACGCGATGCAATTTCTAACCATTCGGGCCCAGGATATTAAAAATAACAGCAACAAAATCAGTTACACTGCCTACAAGGTTAATCTTGATTATGGAAACTTCACCAGTGCTGCTATTATTTCACCAGAGGCAAAAAGGCACTGCAGGCATGCAGCTGGCAAAAGCCGTCTACTCTCAGTTTGCGAGTCAGACAATGTGCCAGCACAGACCGCCATGCCCTGGGAACCATCCCCTGCTGGGGGCACGCACACTAGGAGTATTTTGATCACAGTTAGAAGTAATTTGAGCGTACCTGAACTCCACTCAAAGGTAACATTTAAACACCAGCTTGTTGAACAAGGACCGGATCATCAAGATTAACAAGTTTTTAAGACACATCTGGTTGCATATATTCGTTTACTGCACCATACTGCACGTTTGCAGAGATTTCCGAATATCCAAAAACTCAAATAGTAACCATCAGGGGAGTTGATAATACCAGCATATGCACACAGATTATCAGCAGACAAGAGACTTCCGAAACGGTCTGAGCACTCACCAGTTCCAAACACTGCCGGTGCCCGTATGCAGCAGCATAATGCACAGTGTTGTACCCCTCTTTGTCCTGGATGGATGGATTGGCATCGTTCTGCAGAAGGAACTCCAGACACCTGCGGACAATTCACTAGTGTGAATGTGAGCTCACAATCTCACCCCTCGCTCCAACCTTCAGTGGCTCTGAAAGGCTGTGGCAGTCAATTCTGTACTTATTTCTAGCAGCACCCCAAATCACTTTTCACCAACCGCTCCTCACATTCACGGTTTTTTAAAACAGAAAATCCCCACTCATCTTTGAAGATAATCTTCATAAAAAACATTCTTCAACCTAACTTTTGTGGCTATTCTAGATTACAAAACTTATTGTCTATTGCAAAGCCTGAAATAAACGATGTAACTCTCTACCATGATGTAAGCAGCCTAGAACTGCTACTAGTCGTGTAAAAACTCATATATCAAACCACTGGCCTCCAAACATGCACTATGGCAAGCTGAAAAATAAAGACTTAATAAGTTAATTGAACATACAGAAATACATTTTCTTCTTTGCTGGCTTTTTTTTTTAATCGTGTTTGTCAAAGGATCCCTTACGCTCTTTATAGCTCCTGCCATGTTTTCTCATACCATCAACTCATCATTTTGTTATTAGTACTTTCTCCCATAGCTTGTAATTTGTAGTGAACATAAAGGTATCATATGAAAAATGGGATTTAAAAAAAAAAACCCCTAACATTAAGCAGCTAGATGATCCAAGAACACGCACTGAGGAAGCTATTGGCTAACTTTTTTGCAGCATACATATTCGGTGCAAACCAATAGAAGGCGAAGTGCATGATACTAAGAATTATTAAATTACTGAAGCAGTACATTTTCAGTGAAGAAAGAGCAACAAGCACAGAAACAGAACTACTAGGGAATATGTGCATAGAGGAGAGCGCAGAGCTTTTTTCTTCCGGTCAGCCCTCATTGAAGTCAAGCACTGTGTTTAGCAGAGCAATGAATGAGCAAAAGCAGAGTGTGAAACCACAGCCCAAAGCAGTGGCATTCTCCAGAAATGAGGACTAACTGCTTTATTGACACCAAACTTACAATGCAGCTTCTTTTTCCTTCATGTCACTTGCTCTTTCAAGTTCTTCAGCATTTTCATGGGAGTTACCTAAAATGTTCTTTCTTCTTAGCACAGAGGACAGAAAAATGCAACTTATTTTCACAGTACCATACCAGGGATTTTGACGCATTCTGCCACCCATCCCAAATCTCCTCTTCAAGGAGTTGTTCTCCTCCAGCCAACAATAAGAATTACACAAGTTAATGAGTGTACTGCATGGGTCAGCAGTTTTGCGAGCTATGGAGACAACTACAACATGGCAGTTTATGTCCGCCAGGTCAATGACAGGGAAAAAAAAAAACCAAAACACCACACAATATTCCGGTTTCTATCAGAAATAGTTTGATCCTCACTTTCTAGAATCCTTCAGTTTCTCCCATAGCAATGTTGTGCGTTTTGTTTCCTTTGCAGAGAAACTCAGGATTAGCACAGCTTGCTGCTTCTGACAGTAATCTGTGAGCTCTTCTCCAGCATTTAGGATTTAGAGAAACTTTAATCATGGGTACCAAACGGTCTATCTTGAATCTGCATTAGCTGGGATGCTGACTCACCTCAATTCCTGTGAAATATCTTGGCAACACTGTGTGGCTCTCCCAGTCAGGTTCTTTAAATTTTTCAAAGAGCTCAAACATAACTTCCTGTTCCTGCACACCCGGATCATTTTTGGCACCTCTGCTTCCTAACTGGGTGGATGGCAGGCAGAAGGCTATGATTTGTGATCTTACAGTTACAGCGTTGTGATTATGATCACCAAGGCTTACACAGAACATGTTTTCAAACTTCTATCATCATGGACTAATATCTTGAAATGTTTGCAGAATGACAGTTCGCTAATTTCAATCCCAATATAACACGCAAATTCCAGACTGGATTCTGCGCGATGCAGAACAGAAAATTCTTCCTTTATTATGCAATTTCCCATTTGTAGTATCAGGATTTGACATTTTTCCTGTGGGTGTTAGCAATAATAGGTTGTTCTACAAACCCAGAGTCTGTGTGATGCTCACTGACTCAGAGAAAACAATCACTACTAAAATAACTCCCCTGAATATTAACATTGTGAGCTCATAGACAGTACTCCTGCTATGCTGAAGTCCTACCTGCGTCTGCTTTCAGTGAACTACGAATCAATGAGATCCTAAAGGAAGCTTCCCTGAACAGAATACAGGATGATCTGGAGAAACTGTACATGCTCAGAAACTGCAGTCAGCTACTCAGTGGAAATGCTGTTGTGATTTCCATTGCAGGAAAGGGTACTTTCTGAAGACTATAAGCAACAACAGTTACCAAAAGAGCTGAAAGAGTAGGGCAACCTCGCTGCACCAAGGCTTCTCCTTGCTCATTAGCTGCCCACGTCCAAAGCTAAATAATTATGATTATTTTTTTGAACTGAGATTGCCTGACCTTGGGATTTTGGAAAAAGAAAAATATTCTGACCTATAAAATCATGGTCGGCCAATAGCATTTCATCTATGTAACAAGGCTTCTTCCAGAACATCTCAAACTGCAAAATTTAATGAGAAGACAGCATCCCCACATCAGAATCAATTTAGGTTTGGACTACAAGCGCAAATAAAGGCCACATATTCCTGCCAATGTTCAGGATGAGACTAAAGCTTTTTTAGTTTGTTTTAATTACTGATGGAAGTAGATACATCCTGAAGTTAACCAAGAGCTCGTTTAAATGCAGGAACTGCACCCACAAAGAGCCAAAAGCTGAAAAACACACACCAAAACACCATTCTCAACACATCAAGTAACACCTCACCCTGGCAAGAAAGCTTTAGAAACAGCCAGTGGTGAAAGCCTTCCTACAAGTCTACTGTGATTGTAATGCCAAGCACAGACCTTTGAAGATCCTGCTGCCTTCTTCCCAGCACTGTTAGGTTTGAGGGTGACAGGGAAGACAATTTTTATATCAGCATTATCACACCAAATGATGAAGAAGCTACCAAGGCTCTGGTATGGCATCCAAACCTCTACCATAAAGTTAAGCCAAAGTTTTCCTGCAGTGGATTTGAGGTGGCAGTCTGCTGGGAATGAGCCAGACAATTTTTACCAGATCTCACTATACAAGAAACCAAAAAAATAGTTACTTCGCATCTAAAGGAATGAGAAGTAGAAACATGGGATGACCTAAAATAAATACAGGTTGCTTGCAGTTTTAAGAGAGAATTAAAACGTTGATTGAGCCTGTTTTATACAGTATGTTATAAGGAAGAAATTGCAAAAATATGCAACTATCTGGGAATTAGAAACTGCAGTCACTAACCACAGGACTTCTAAGTTTTGCAGCTGTTTTCCCTCTTTCTCACAAGAACAGTACTGCATTCTGCCAAAGAATATTCCCCAGGCCTCTCTCTTCCTGCAGTCTCTAAAAAGCAACCTGCTTGGCCAGGGTGAGTATTTTTATCAGCTCTGACAGTGGAGAAAGACTGATGGGTAGATCTAGCCCATCTTTTGCAGAAATTCTGTCAGAATGGCCAGACGTCTGTCTGTCTGTCGCTGCAGCGCATCTAGGAAAACCTCTCCCTCTACTGTCTCTGGCCCTACCTCTTCTGATGGACTTGCAAAGCGGATGCAGAAAATTCTCTGACCTTACTCGTGAGGAAACCACACAGAGAAAACCAGAAGACAAAATGTTGTGACAACAGTAAGACAGGGTGGCTGCAAAACTGCGTGTTACATCAAAGGTAGACTGTAGAGCTGAAATGCCACGTCATCTGGGGATTTGGCTTGTAGTCAGAGCAACTCAGTGTGGAGTTACGCAGACATCTGAGAGGAATTCCTTTGCTACCGGGATCATTTCTTGGCTCACATGACATAGCATCATGAAGAGAACCAAACGACATTAATTTAGTAAAACACTTGAAACAAGGAATACAAAGCAGCTTTCTTACTTTCGGTCCATGTCAGAAGCAGCAGCGTAGTGCAAAGGGGTGCGTCCCCAGTCATCTGTTCCATTAATATTGGCTCCTGTTGCCACCAGTGTCTCAATACAGTGGAAATGACAATTTGCAGCTGCATAGTGCAAAGGCGTCCTGGAACATAAGTGACAATTTGTTACCTCGTATTCCAACATGCACCACCAAGGACAACGATAAATCTTAACGGCTGCATTCCTACAGATTTCCAGCAGTCAATATCAGCGCCTTATATTCCTGTGATGAAATGCAACGTTACGGAAATTTAACAAAATACTGTGTTAATAGGAAGTTTTGGTGCTCCTACGAAGCCTAATAGGACACAGATCATCAACCTGTGTCTTGCAAACAACCTATTCCCAGTGACAGCCTCTGCTGCTGCTCTGCACACATGACACCTTATTCCCGTTGGGAGGCAGAGCAAAGCACAGCATCCCTGCAGCATCTTACTTGGCTGGCATAGCAACACTCATAGCAACACTTATATGGGGAAAAAAAAATAAACCCTCTAGGAAGCATGTCAAATAGCAGCAATCCTCCCGTCGTAACCCAGGTGTTGTCTTGGGCACGCAAGCACAAGAATTTAGGCAGTAAGAGAAGCAATAAGGAAAAAATTAGACCTGTGATATTTTTAAAACAGAAACCTCAAGAGGGTGGGATGGCTTTTATGTATTTAATGAAGTCTGCACCTGTCTGTCTGGCATACAACTGCAGCAGCAAGAGTCCTGCAGGGAAGGCCGAACTCCTACTTTATCTTACTGTCATTTTTCACAGAACATATGATCTGCAGACTGAGGTGGTTTTCCTTCTTGCCTGACAGGCTCTCTCTTTTTTTTAATGAGCTTCATAATTTACTTACCTCCCACATTTGTCCTTCTTATTAAAATCTGCTCCACTGCTTTGCAAGAGTTTTATACATTCAACATTACTGGAAAGAGAAGAAAACAAAACAGGAACAAAACACAAGTTTATATGTGCATTGCCCCCTGTCTCCAAAAAGGAAAAAGTTATTCTATTTTTGTATTATTTGCCATGCAAAAATAGTGTACAGCCAACTACAACATGAAATCCAATCAACCAGAAAATGTAGCTTTAAAAATTATTTCCTTCTTTCCTAGAGAAATTCAAACTCCTCTTCTGCAGAAGAAAAAAAAATAGTTTTCCAACGAGAGCACAGTAGATGTGAGCTGAATTCAGTGTGTTTGGAGATCTTCAATGGGCGCTGTACTCTAATGCTTCCCACACTGAACTGGTATTTTGTAAGAGAACTTTAAAAGAACGTTGTTGCTAGCTTATAAAATGCTAGTCTAATAACGACGAGGCGACATTTAACGAAATCCACCCCCGTCCGGCAAAGCCTTCAACAGCAAGCACTTCGCTCAAATCCTGTTTACTTAGTGAGATTTAATCACAGGAGTTACTTTTAGGTTTATTCTCATATGATTTGTTGACTACTGTTAGATTTAAGCACATCCCTGAGTGCTTTGTTGAATAAGAGGCACAGCTATTTAAAGTGATTGTCATATCAATATTGCATTTATGTAAATGGATGCGTTGGACTCCGTTGCTTTGTATCTGTTGAAAGAATTCAAGTGTATGACTCCAAGCCAGAAAACAACATAAAGCAGCGAAGCACTTTCCAAGACTCCTTGTCATTCAAAGGGGCAATAAATCATTTGTGTTCACAATCACATGAGCAGGCCTTTGAAGTGTGTTCTTTTCCTACTACCCATGCAACTCCCAGTAATGTAATGGGAGTAACAGGCATGTGTCAGGAAAAAAATGAGTGCCTTTTGTATAGCTCCAGCTCCAGCAAAAAAAAAAAAAAAAAGAAGCCTGGATGCAACATGTTGGCGTATATTCATCCCTACTCTAAACTGCCTTTGCATAAAATAGCTACAGAACACTCACCATAACATACTAAAAATAAAAACACTTGTTCATGATGACAATTGTAGTAAACAACTGGGAAAATACAGGTTTTTTCATGCGCCGCTTTTGCTCCTTATGAAGGCTCTCCTTGTCTTCAGGACTTCCAGGTTGGTTTTATTACTCTTTTGGGGTGCAGCCTTATCAAAGAGGTAGCATCTGAACTATGCTGTAATAATCTATAATTGCAGGCAACAGTGAAACCTTCTCTATTAATGTGAGATGAATATAAAAATAGTATTTGGATCTATTTTATTATTTTTTTGTAATAACAAAAACTTTGTCATATACATTTTGGGCCATTGAGAAGAAAAAACAACTCCCAGAAAGACTGCCAAGCATTTTCTGTGGACGACCACCTCTGCTCGCTGTAACCACAGAGGATCCAAGCTGGGTTCTAGCCCAGGCTCCATTTCAGCTGTTTTCTGAGCCACGAAGTGCTCCACCGAAGAGTCAAAACTCAGTGCTTGCCAAACGTTTTGCCCTTTTGCTAGGTTAACTTCACCACAGCACTCCACTGACATTTTTTTGGAAATACTTAAACTAACTGAATGCTACATTTACAACTTAAATTGACGTACTGCAGTTTTCATTTGTTTCCATTTCTGGCCTCCCAGCACTTATCAGGATTGCATCACTCCAAGAGAATGAGGGTCTTTTGACTTTCTGATGTGGGGGCTGTTTGTTCTGTGGTTGGTTAGTTGTTGCTTTGGTTTGTTGGTCTTTCTTTTAGAAAATTCTAAACTTGCACCTGAAAAATGGGGAAGAGGGAGGCAAACTGCATTTGGACTCGCAAGGTTGCGATCTGATGGGCAGTGTTGTGCAGTTGCATTTTCGGACAAGGATGCAGTCCAAAGGTGGAAGCCAGGAATAACTTCCCTGCTAGCAGCATTCCAGGAGCTACAGCTCCTCCTTCTCACTCACTTTGCCCTGGGAACTGATGGTTTCCTGCCGCCTGCTGGCCCTCAGCGACGGTGGTGGCCAAGAGGCAGCGCTGGGCGAGCACGCAGCACCCCCACCCAAAGCCGAAGCAGTCTGCGCAGGGGCATGAAAAGAAAGACTTCTCCCCCGTGCCTGAAACCCATGCTTCCATCACAGCCCAGCTCCCTGCAGTAGAGGAGACCAGACCGTCTCCTTTACTCTGCAGCCAACCCCTCCATGAGGGCAGTGGCAAAAGAGAGCCTCAAGTGACCCAAAGGTGACATCGGCCTGCTGTGCTTCCCTCGCACCGCAATAAATACCCCTGTGGATGGCAGAGACAAGTTGGCCGGCACCAAATCTGCAACAAAGCCGGGGAGTAACTTACAACAGACAGTCACAGCTACTCACCCTCCTGCAGCGGCAGCGTGGAGGCACGTTCTTCCAAAACTATCAGGAGTGTCTATGTCAAAGCCTGCAGACAGCACGTGCTCATTACTAAACAAGGACACTATGCTATACTTTTGTCCTAGTTAAACCACAAGAAACATTGCAGAGACAGAAAAATCAGTTAGTTGGAAAAAAACCAGAACGCAAGCAACTACAGTCAGAAAGAGGTTGTCAGGGGAACGGCGAGCGGCTGCTCCAGTTTGGCATCTCTATAAAAAAAGCTGCAAAGTTGACGAGCGCCTATTTCCGCATCCAGCTCTGCGCCGCATCCCTATTTAAGACCACGTGACAGGCATTTATGGGGCAGATACTGATCAAGAGGACTGCAACAGCGGGACACAAAGACAGAAACATGAAGAAATGAGGAAAAACCACAGAGTCAGCCTGAACACCAAATAGGGCCATTTTTATTGCGTGTGGTTTTCAGGTTAGAAAGAGGCTTCCAGGAGCACGCAGGGACATTCATCAGGGTGCACAGAACCAAAGATACAAGCCTGGCACTATTAACTCTGGTCACCCAGAGCTTTTTCTCTTCCTTCCCAATCAAGTGGCGAAGGGCAGAGTGCACCAAGTTTTAATGTAATTGCCATTTTTCATGCCTTTTTTATAACCTACAGGACTCAAGTTTAGGGGAGAAAGTAGTTGTAGGAGATTTTACATGTTAAGTAATGAAACAATTTTCTAGAAAAAGCATATGATCTGCCGTGTGATTTTTTATCTCATGGGAACTCTTGCCTGGAAAAAAAGAAGTTGGGATTTGGCACCTGATTACTGCCTCTTTTGAAAGGGTTGCACCAGCCAACTCCTGCTTCTTCTGCTTTGGGCTCTGGTGAGGATCCTGAGACTGCTCTCTCAAGACTACCCTCTCACTCATTTCCCCTCTTGTGCCTGCAGAGCTTTAGCCAGCCTAACTCCTTCACTCCATCTGGATTCAGAAACGCACTTTAGCTGTATCTAAAATACATCAGCAGCAGCAAGATGTAAATACCTCTGCCAGCACAGGCCCCAAGGAGATAATTTCCTGAATTACTCCTTTGAGGGAAAAAACCTACCCAAACCAAAACAGTATCTCACACTCCTAGAATTTGGAAGAGAGTTCTAAATTTCCTCCCTCCTCCTGGTGAATGAATACAAACTCTCTGAACCTGCCAGGAGAAGAGAGCTTTGGGCATGAACAATACAGGATGTGAGGCAGTACCAGCGTGCCATTGGGAAAGCCTCGCATGCTCCCGTCAGAGCACAGCACAGCTGCACACAGCAGCACAGGAAGCCTTTCACGTGAACAGTTCACAATGAGCGTAGAGGGGCCACAAGCAGCAGAGACACAGACGACTCAAGCTCCACAGACACTGTGGGATCGACTTACCCGATGACAACAATTTCCTGCAGCAGTCTGAGTGAGCATTCAGTGCTGCCAAGTGTAAAGGGAACATGTTGTGGATCCCACACCTGAAAGGCACAACAGCCTCATTACACAGAGTCATGTGAAAATGCAGGTTGCTTACAGACACAGCACATAAAAAGCTCCTTCCACAAAGGCAGTGTTTTTTATACTTTTCAAGGAAGAATCTTCCTGCCATGTATTTTTTATGTGTATTTCCTTACCAGCCTTCTGGGGAGTTAAAAATATCCTGATACAGCAAAATCTTGGCATTTCACTTTCAACAGAATGTGGCAGGAAGGTTTCTAAAAATTCAGGGTGAAAGCCAAGGTAAGGGAGGAAGCGAGAGAGCAGATACTGCCTGGAGTCAGTGGCCTGCTGTGGGATGCACACATTTCTGCATCAGCTACACATCCTGCAACTGCCTTTCTGAGGTAAAAGGCTGACATCACCTCAATATTATTACTGAAACCCATTTTCCCTGCAGTTAACATCCTTTAGATAACTCTCATGTGGGTTTTCAAAGCCTCTCCTTCTTCCTTCTCTCTCTCCCCTGGTGCTAGGGTAGCTGGAAACTTCTTCACACTTTCCTTTAGGCTGCTGTGACACAGTTTTCCTCCCACATCTTAAAAACTAAACACCTAATTTTCCTATTTGCTCCAGCTACTTTCCTCACGCTCCCTTTTACTTTTTCCTCCCTCTAACACATGACCCTCCTTTCAATTACACTATAAACTTCGCAGAGCAGACATGCTGTGTTAAAAAAAAGGCAGGCACTTACCATTAGGCTAAATCTCTACCAGGCAACCACATAGTTTCTAAACAAGCTGAGCACTCAGCAGCTTTTATTAATATCAGCAAATCATCCCCGTTCAACCCTAAGCTTGCCGCTGTTTACTGTCTTAGAAGATTTTTGGGTTTGGACATCTAGGCTTCTGTCATTTAGCACAGTTTTGTGGAAAGCATCTTGTTATTCTACAAATAGAACCCTACTGGCAGTCCTCCAAGTGCACATAAACATGGAGCCTCTGAAACCAACTATGTCACCAAGACTATCATCTACTGCCTGCTTCAGCAGACACAGATTTGAAAAATGACAAACTCTTGAACAAGAGCAGATGGATTCCTATCTGCCCTTCATTTCTGCAAGACCAGTGGTGGATAGAGAGTATGATCGCCTCCCGGAAGAGGATTTCAGATATGAACACAAAGCCAGAGCTATTTACATGCAGCACATACGCAAGCCCATTCCCACTGTTTCAGTGCTCTGTGTTTAGCATCGTTTGGATCTGCCTGGTATCTCTGAGCCAACTTCTTATTTCATTTATTTCTGCTGCTGAAAAAAGTATTTCATTTGATCAATGTTGCAGTCATCCAAGTGTGAAATAGAAATTTCTAACTGGATAACCCTGATTCCAAGAGTGGGCTATCCCACTGCATCTCATTTTCCCTTTAAACCTCAAGAAAAGAGACAGACTGAGACTTACTGTACTGGAGAAAGAGCTAAGAAAAATACATGTCTATTTAGATACCAAGATCTTCATGCTGGCTAGGTTAATAAAATCCAGTGATGTTAGCTGAAGTCTGTGGAATTTCATTATCCTTGCCAACTGAAGATCTGTTCCACCCTCCAAGTCCGCACAGTGACAGTCATACTTGATAAAGGAATATGGGCTAATGTGCCACTTTCTTAAACATTGTCAAGCAAACAAACAAAATCCGGAGAGCTGCAAGTACCTTCAAAATTAAAACCAGCCCATTGGCATCTGAAAGCAGGTTTTCCTATCTAGGTACGGCAAGAGAAATCACTGATTTCTACGTTAAGGTTCTAGGCAGAAGACTCTTAAATTCTATTTTGGAGACATGTGGACGTAATTGCTGAAAACTTATCTTCATGAAATCATATTAAACTCCTGGTACAGGTATCGCTCATAGCATTGCATTACTCTGGTCTTACACCCCTTTGTTTACCTTCAGGTTTGCTATCTTCTTTTGACAGATCATACGGACCTGAACATAACTAACCAACACTCAATACTGTTAAAAATTGAACACCTGCCACTGTTAGAGTTGACAATACTTATTCTATTGTGGGTGCAATTTTGACACACGTGCAAGAGAAAACAAACAAAAAATTGATTTGTAGCAGAAAGCACTAAAACCATTTAGAAATGTGTCTAATTTCAACTCCTTGTTCTTCAGTTCAAAAAGGACTCCCAAACTCACAAATTGGATAAAAGCAGTCCTATCATTTCAGCCACCTGAATATCAGAAGCCAAGCGAGATCAAGACAGGCTCTAGTTATACTGAGATCAGAAACACTCAGGAACATCTGCTTTGCAATACTGCATTTCTACTTATTATCCTATGCCATACCAAAAGATGCAAGACAAAAGAATAACTACCATGTATGGTAGGCCACTAAACATTAGGCTAATTTAGATACTAGGGGAATATGAACACCATTCCCCTGGAAAGCATCTGAATGTTTTTCAATTACGCTTCCTGTACAAACTCAGTCATACAGACTTTCTGGAATAACTGTGATCAAGGTGCACTTTATATACATACGCACCTCATGTACATTATATACCACTGTGCCACACCAACGCTTTAGGAGAAAGAAGCGGGATTTGTACTACCTGTAACCGCATAGCTGGGCACAATAGGAACCCCAGCAGGGCTTTCTGCCCCTCCACACTTCCCAAGTGTTCCTATCTCAGCTCCATGTCACCCCTGAAGCACAGTACAGTTATGCTTATCCATTTTAACCTTCACGCTTCAGAATCCACGTTTCCAGGCATCGGACATAACACTTGATCATTAGAAACAGCTTCACTCCAGCTACCTACTTGGCAGTGTCAGCTCCGCTGGTTATGAGGGTGTTAATCAAAAGCTCATGTCCGTATCTTGCAGCCACGTGCAGAGGGGTGTTACCGTCCTTATCAACACAGTCGATTTCCCCTCCTGCGAAAGACATTTTCATACAGTTTAACACTGAAAGATTAAGCATGAACCAGTAACCACAAACGTTATTTCTCTCCAGTGAATGCAGCATAACAAGTGCAGCCACAGAGACGCTACATTTCAGAGACCAAGCAGCAGCACGCAGCAAGCTGTCAGCTGTCAGCCACCGGTACTGCATGCGGTCTGGCAGCAGCGTTTCCACCTCCTCCTCCCACTGCAGTGGGGGGGAAAAACAGTGGGAAATAGAAGAACGGGACAACATACAGTAATCAGGTATATGATTCAGACTTGCTCTGCATCTACAGGTACAAATGGATGCCTTGAATCAAACCAACAAAATAAACTGCTGAAACTATGCCCTCATTCGTACGGGCACAGCCACTCAACCCTTCCTGTAAGGCAACAACGTCAAACAGAGTTTGTGCAAGAGGCCAGCACGAACACCCTGCAAACAAGTGAGCTGCGTACCTTCTCTGTGTCTTACCAAAGACCCCGCAAACAGCACTTAAGTACAACTTTTCCTGTTGCAATTTAAGCCTGTCACCTTGTGGTTTATCCTCACAAGCAAGAAAAACAGATTATTTCTTTCTTCTCTGCTGCGGCTTTTAACCCACACAAAGATTGCTATCAAGTCCTTCTCTTCTTTTAGGACCAAGGAACTGTAAATTTTTCAGTCTCCCCTCATAAGTCAGGTTTGCTGCACTCCAACTGTTCTCATCCTTCCCTCAGTCCTCTCCAGCTGGCCCACATCTTTCTGGAAGTAAAATGTCAAAAGCCAGAAGCAGTACTACAGCTGACATCTCCCAGTGCTGAGCTGAGCAAAAGCATTACTTCAGACCTGTTGGCTACGCTCCTATCTATGCACTCCATGAACACTGTTGACCTTTTTTTTAAGCACCAGGACACTGTTTGACTTGTGGTCAACAAGCTTCTGACCCTCTGCAAGCCCCAGATCCTTTCTTGAGGGTCCACCACCCACCCGGCGGGTGTCATTCTGAACCTGTGCAACTGATATTCCTGCCTGTGTGGGGGATCTTTCCTTTGCTTCAGCTCGCATTACAACTTCTGACTCCAATTTTACAGGATCATTTTCCATTCTGACTACACCTTCTGCCAGACAGTCTCTCCCAACTTTGTATTTTCTCCAAATGTTAAAAGCACATTTTCTGTTCCACTAACCAAGTTGTTAATGAATATACTGGCTAGTTCCAGACTCAGAAGGGAACTGAAAACCCTCTCGCTACACCTTCCATTTCAACAACAATCCATTTATTACTACCCTCTGAGTGTAGTTTTTGAACTAGCTATGCACCAACACTGTAGTATTTTAAGAATCCACTAGTTTGCTGTGAGAATACGTTATGAAAGTATGCAAAAAGCCTTGCTAGCATCAGGATATGGTAATATTTACTGCATATCCACTATTCACAGGAGATAACAGGCCATAACTGCCACAAATGTTCGAGTAAAGCCCTGTACAGCATTTTCTAACAGTAAATAAAACTCAGAGAAATGCTGGAACAGGTTCCTGGGGTGGAGCCTCCACCAGCGGAGGTCTCCATGAACATTACCTGCCCGCAGAAAAGTCAGAGGACTGTTGTGTTCCCAAAGCCTATTACCCTGCTGTAGAAGATGATTAGAATGATTCAGCATCTTTTACTCTTGAGAAATTGATGCTAGATATTGCCCACTCCTCCCTAAAGTTTGTTGATTCGCTCATTTCAGAATTTTTGCCTGACGTATGTAAAATTCTGCAGATTTTCTTTTTTCCCATTTTTAAAGATAGGTATCACACAGTTGCAATTTTCCAGTTTTTAGGTAATCCATTCTTCCTCTACAAGTCACTAGGGACAGCACCCAGAAACTGAGACATCTTTAGCTATTAAGTACTGCAGAATGAAACTCAATTTCTTCAAACCACTATTTCTCTCTTCCACAATATCCCATGGCAATGAAGCATAAAGTCACTTGCAATCAGATCTGTGCACAAGACTAAAATTAGAGGGGCAGCCAACGAAGAAAGAAGCAAACCCCAAGTAACTAGAGGAAGAGTAGAGAAGCATGAAGGACAGATGAAGAAATGCCAGTCCTTTCACACAAAAATTCAACAAACAACAGCTGTAAGACACAAAGCATATTTGACTAAACAAGTAAAAATTGCATTAAAGCACCGTTTCTTCCAGTTTCTTTCCCAAACTCCTTTTATTACTACTATTTTAGTAATCCAAGGAGAGATATGACAGCAATTTGCACGATGACCTGAAAGAAGCAAGATGTACTGAAGACCTCCATTTTAAAACACAATCTTGTATAAATGTGTCATTACAATTGCAGCGTAACTGTTCAGCCATCTTCAACACCTCACACTTAAGTTCCAGGTTTGGGATTTTGGAAAACAAAATAAACCCCCAACCAACCAACCAACCCCCGACCATCCTGGCTGGTACAGTGGCCAAAGCTGGGAAGCATAAGTAAACAGACAGTAATAGCAACCTCTGTCAATCCGAACCAGGCCTCTGCCAGATCTCCAACAATAATATTTGTTATACTCTGCAGTATTCTTGGACAAAAGAGAGAGCTGATAAAAGATAATCGTGAATCCTGGCTACGCCAGAACAAACAAGGTGGTGCTGGTCCACCCTCTTGAGTATTTATTTGACACTTAATGAAGACAGTGTCGAGGGGTGGAGGGAGAGATGGTGAGAGAGGTACTGCTGCGGAGTGGAGGGTTGAGAAAATGGTCTGAGCTCTAAGAACACTAGGGATCCCCACGGAGGACAACTAGAACTTGTTCTCTTTTTTTTGTTTTAGTTTTTAACTAATTTTAGAAAGAAAGCTGTGCTTGCTTCTCAGCAGAAAAAAGACCTAAATACAGCTTCGAACTCTTGTTTTCGGGTTAAGAATCACAACAGATCAGCTGGACTACTGTCAGCTGAAGGAATCCAAAGGCTCAACTTGTGATGACACACTGGAATGAGACCTGTCAGGGCGGCTCAAAGCCAAAGCTGGTGGAGAGCTAACCAAGCAGGTCTCAAGAGCAATCCTTTGGCACTCTGGGTCAGAACAACTAACGACTGCAACCCTGGAAATGCCTAATCTTGTGGAGAGTCATTAAACAGGCACAGAAACTCACCATTTTGAATGAGGGTCTGCGACCGTGTGAACCTCCCATGGACAGCTGTCATGTGCAGCGGGCTCTTCCCATCCTTACTCTAACAGAAACACAACACAAACCCAGCCATTTAGCATGTAACGCAGTGGTAACAATTTGAAGTCTCTCAGCTCAATGTCCTTCATCTTTTCTTCACATAAAACCTCCACTGGCTTCAAAAGTCTGCAGGACTGAATCTAGGCATGATGGTTAGGGCAGAAGCTATAAGCATACAAGTAAAACAGTTCCTCAGCGATGAGGCTGGAGTGGAGCCTGTCCTTACAGCCTGGCTGCACACAACACCTGCTAAAACCCTACAGATATATGACATATTATTCTTGTATATTAGTTTTAAGTAACATTTCCCATTCCCATTAGTCACTACTTTCTTTAATACTTGCAATGAGGCAAATTAAGAAAAGCAAAGGAATCATAAAGCTAAGTAGGAGCCGTCACCCAGAGATTCAAGAACCATATCCTGTTTATCGATCTGCATTTTATGGATACATCCCAGAATAAAAGCCACTATATTGAAAGAAGTTTTGGTTAATTGATTTCCACGCACTCAAGAATAGGATGTCTATTGAAGACAATTGGAAAACAGGGAAGGCATATGAAAGGAAAGGTACAATGAGTACAGATCCGTGTTTTGGGTTCTGGAGAATGAAACAAAGAACCAAGAAAGCCAAGGAACTGAGAAAACAGCAAGTGAAGGGTACCAGCCTCACTACTCATATCACTTGATGTTTACTGGCACGGGCTTTCACGTTCATTGGCAAGCACACTCCCTAATTTTATTTTAATAATTCTGAGTTTAAATAGTGTACTGACTATTCACTGATCTCAAGAGACTCACCAGAGGTGTTAAATGCTTGGAGACCAGTTTTACAGATGGGAAACTGAAACACAGAGAGTTTAAAATAAAGCCATCAAAATCTTGACTCAGAGATGTCAAGTCTTCTGGTACCTATACCAGCACCCTCTGTTGGATCGCAGCAAGTCCCTTTCAGCTTCATCAAGTTGTGTCAATGGTATCTCAAGAGCATTCAGATATCCTACAGACTTTGTAAACTCAGGCTCTAAAATAGGTAAACAAAGAACCTTCAGTTCTTAATTCCCCAGGAAAGTCAAAAGGAACTTTTTAGAATCAGGTTTAATTAAATCCATATTGTAGGAAAACACCAGAAAGGAATAGCTGCTTGACTTACCACCACTCCCTGAGATAACATTCTGACAGAGCCCCTGGGACTATATTTTACTAGTGGTTCATGCCTTCAGGAGAGTGGCTGGCCTAAAGTCTAAGGCTGTCATTATTAAGGGACTGAGAGCTCCTCTGCTGTGTAGTAATGTCAGCCAAACAGTTTAATGATCAACATTCTCAGCAACACTCCATTTCCATCAAGGATTTAAAGCCATGCTGTACTCATTATAGTTTCCAGTCTCTGAGGTATGCAAAACAGAATAAAGTAAAACTGAAGAGCTGCAATGCAAGTTTTACCTGAATGTTAACATCTGCCCCATTATTCACTAGCAGTTCAAGACACAGTGCTCCATGAGTGGAGGCAGCAGCAAAATGCAAGGGCGTGAATCCGTTGTTATTAGGCTGATTTACATTAGCACCATAGTCAATCAGCTCGTTAACAACAGAATCCTGACCATTGTAACAGGCAATGTGAAGTGCAGTATTTCCATAGATGTTCATTTCATCAATCTAAAACGAGACAAGGAGACCCAGTTAAAATCACAGACATCAGCTTACTATTTTACATAATGCATCACATACTGCAAATGGAAATAGCTGGAGGCTTCAACTGTCACAGGGCGTATTTCTCACCAGCAAACTTCATTGACAAAAATATACTCCCAGAGAGCTTAATTTGGAATTCTTCACCTTCAGTATCATTAACTTTTTATCCTACTGGCAATTTTTAAAAGTCAGTATGAAGTTTAAAGCTGACAGCAGGACTATGTAATGATGATGATGAAGACCTAAGTCCTAACAAGCTGGAAAACTTGTACATATAAGCAGGAAAGCAGGATAAATAAAAAGCTCACAATCTTTATTTAAAAAAAAAAAATCCCACACAAAACACCAAAAAAAAACCCCAAACCAAAACACCGACTGTTGAATTTTGTGAAAAGAATCAGGCTTAAGAGCTTTTTCCACACATTTCTTTTGAGAAGGGAGTGAAGGTGTGAAACTGTAGAGCCATTTACACTTCAATAAGAAACCACTTTCAGTAGCTCAGTATTACAAAGATGTAATTAAGATTATGGTACTTCTTGATGACTGGCTTAGTATTCAACTGCTGTTCTGTAAAACAGGACAAGACAAATTGTACAAAATACTCAGGGATGATGTGAATACCCTTCCAAGAAACAGAGGCAGCTCAAAGATCATATCCCCAGTGGTGGAGGATGCTGGGAGTTAAAGGTAGTTATTAGCATAGAATGGCTAATAACAGGAAACACTTTCAACTTCACAGTCAACAGCCTGTGAACACGGACTTCTGACACTTCTTTGGCAGGTCAAGTCAGCTGGTTATGAAGTTGGCAAATGAAACAGCTTTATTTGTCATCTCTGATTAACCAGGGCAGGCTCTTCTGGTCTTCTCCCTGGTGCTCTGAACCACTGAGTTGACGCTATTACTCTAAGAGAACTGCCTGCTCTGAAAAAAAGTTCTTTCCAGAGTGAAAATAATCCTCCTCCTTCCCCCCATCAGCTACAGAACAAATACGGGTCTGTCGTAGTTTCAGCTGGTGTAGGTATTTTTCCTCCTAGTAGCTGGTATAATGCTGTCTTTTAGATTTAGCATGAGGAATAATGTGGTAATACACTGATGTTTTGGTTGTTGCTTACAAGAGCCAAGGCCTTTTCTGCTTCTCACGCCACCCCACCAGCGAGAAGGCTGGGGGTGCACAACTGACCAAGGGATATCCCATACCATATGATCTCATGCTCAGCAGATAAAGCTGGGGGAAGAAGGAAGGGGAGGGCATTCAAAGTGATGGTGTTTGCCTTCCCAAGTAACCACTACACGTGAGGGAGCCCTGCCTTCCTGGAGATGGCTGAACACCTGCCTGCCCATGGGAGATGGTGAATGAATTCCTTGTTTTGCTTGTGTGTGTGGCTTTTGCTTTACCTTTTTAACTGCCTTTATCACAACACCCAAGTTTTCTCACTTTTACTCTTCTGATTCTTTTCCCCATCCCAGCGGTGGGGGTGAGCAAGTGGCCATGTGGTTCTTAGTTGCCACCTGGGGTTAAACCACAAGGTCGCTAAACTTAAAGAGCCTGAACTGCAGTTTAGTCAAGTATGCAGTATATATGTTGAGAACAACCACTCATCATAGCAAAAGGAATGCTGAGCCAAGGGAAATTTCATTATTCCATCTTCCTCTGCAGAAACAGCATATATTTCCTGATTTCTTCAGCAAGGTGGCCTGGAATTTACTGTCCATGAGACCTTTCTTTTATTCCAGAATGTTTCCTGCTCTCGAACTAATGAACCACGTGAAGCACAAGGTGCTTTTCATGGTCCAGAAAATGAGAACTATTTTCTTTAAAAGCCCTGCCAGTATCTGTAACGGCATCCGTAAGAAAGAAGAAAACAGTATCTCCAAAGACAGAGAAACATGGACACCACAAAGAGCACATTACCACATACCTCTACCCCCAGGTTAAGGAGGTGTTTCACAATGTTAATCTGCCCATTGGATGCAGCCGCATGAAGTGGGGTGTAACCCTTCTTGTCTTTACAAGTCACCTCTGCACCATGATTAATCAGTAAGGCAACAACTTCCAGGTGACCTTCAAAAGATGAGACATAGTAATCAATGAGTATACCATCCTACAGCATCACTTCTCCCAAATTACTGCTTTCTTGCTAATGCACTGCCCCTGTCACTGCCATTTCACAATGCTCCTACAGTTTTACAAGGGGGGAAAAAAGCATTTTCATAAATGTTCTTAATCCTAGCTCCAGGCCTTGTCAAGAAATCCACGCAATACACATTCACCTTCACCAGATGTGCCAAATTTCTCTTTACTGAATTAGTTTTCCAGTCAATAAAAGAACAAAAATCTCACCTCTTCCTCATTTATTTCTCTAAAAATAATAGCTTGTGGTTTACTCTCCCTGTTACAGAAAGAACAGTGAGCACCAGAGTATGACAATACAAGTCCCTCAAAAGAGCATCCTGTTGATGTCATCTGCAGACACAACTGCTAACACTTGTCGTGTTTTGTTAGCAATACAAAATAACTTTAATAAATGATAAAATTAAGACATCCTCTTTCCCCAGCACCACTGCGGACACAGAAAACTAAATTCCAGGTGAGGGCAGAACATGACCCAAAGCCTACCAAAACTAACACAAGATTTTCTACTGAATCCATTGGTCTTTGGATGAGGTTTTTGACTCTCCAGACTGTACAAAAAATCCTGAATATACGTCTAAAAATGTTTGAATCTGAGACTTATCATCTACACACACATACTTAGTCTGAAAACTAAAATAACTGCAATAGTCTCAACAGTCACACAGACTGAGAGCTGACTGCCAGATAGATGGGACAGCTGTCTTCAGGAATGAAATGCCTAACCTGAATTAGGATCTCCCTATAGAATACAGGGGAAGAGCTAAGCATCTCAAAATGCAACTTATAACCCACCCATACCTTCAGTTTCCTCCTCTCCCTGGAGGTTTCAAACCATGTGGCCTGCCTTAACCACCAAAATTAAATCAAGGCTAACTGAGTAGTCCTTCTTGCTTCATGTTGAAGCAGAGCCATCTTTCTTAGAATTAAAGATTTCTTATGTCAAACACCATATGAAACTGTGCACCATCTGAGTTGTAGAGTACTTCCATGGCAGACATAGCTCTGGTCATGTGCAGGACCCAGGACACTTTACAAAGTCCGAAAAGCCCAAAGATATTTAAGCATTGAAGAAACTATGTGAGGGTTACAGGACAAGATACTCAAGTCTCGTTATCTAAATTCTGTCTAAATTACACTACAGACTCCTAAATCCCATGGCTAATTTAGGCCTTAAATATTATAGAAATAGTTTGAAAAGCACATTTTGAATTTGTGAAAAGAATGAAAAGCAATGTGGAATTGCACAGCACAATGTAAAGGTCTTTTACTTCTACATAGTGGAGGCCAAAGCTCACTAGCTCAAAAGCCAAATCACATTCATTGCCAAGAGTCTTTCCATCTGTCTGTGCCTGTCAAAAAAACCCCACAATATGCTTTTCTTACCGTTTGAAATCTCCTATTATCTTATTTCCAAAAGTGCCAGGACTAAAATCAAGAATTTGACAAGTGAGATGAAAGAGTTCCTGGCAGAGGGCACACACCACCTCACAAACTATAATCTGGAATATACCTCTTGGCCAGCACTCTTGAATAGGAGTGACCACTACCACAGGCAATCTTGTTCTAGCATCTTCAAATCATGATTCACTTAACTTGAAAGGAAGAATAAGGTCAATTGATTTATTTAAGTAGTATTTGGTAACATCATTAATGTCCTGAATAGATGAAACCAGTTGCTCTTCTCTGCTCTGGAATAACAGATGACAATTTGCTCCTAACAGGAGGAAAGGCTATGAAGCACTTGCTAACAATATCATAACTTAGCTACTTATAAAAAACAGATCAACAGCAAAAGCTATGATCATATTTACCTGCATTTTATATAAAGCAGTTTCTAGCAAAAAATGAATCAAATACAACCTGTATGTTTTCAAGCCCAAATATACTTCAGGCTGGAATTAGTCATGATTAAAAAAAGAGAAAATTAAAAAAGAAATGCAAAAGTCCACATTAATTGTATTAAAAAGGAAATCACAGCCAAGTTCTCACCAGCTGCAAAACTCTAAATGGACACTGTGTATTTAGTTCAGCTGAACCCTTCCCTCCTCAGGATAACTGTAACACCCACTTCCCACGGCCAGGTCTGCTCTTGTCCGTTTTAAAACATGCTGTTGGTTTGTCAACAGGAACTAAAAGAAAGGGAAAAACAGCCTGAGCCTCACCCATGTACGCTGCCCAGTGAAGAGCTCTTCTGTCCTTCTTGTCAAAAGCATTGATGTTTGCCCCCTTGGCCAAGAGCAAGTTCACCATCTAGAAGTAACAACAGCAAGTAAACCAACCCTGTAGATCACACACTCCATAGTTTATTCATTATTTCATACTTGTATTTCACGTTCATCATTCCAGCAATAAAGTTAGGATCACAAAAGCCTGCTGCTGAGCGATAAATTTGTGAATTACACAAATACTGTTCAAAGCCATGTGCATTAATGACAAGGACCAGTGACAGCCACAAGTAACCAGGACAAGTCAGTGTTTTTATTCCATACCTAGATCTTCAGATCTGGAACAGGCAAGCAAGGATCCTTTCGCCCAAGCCTGAAGAGACTAGGAAATCCCTTTACCTAGGGGCTTTATACACACATGTTTTTTCAGACAGAAGCAGTAATTAGACTAGAAGGGTGCGCTTGTGTAAGATAAGTAGAAAAACCAGAAGCACATTTTCTAGAAGACTAAATAGAAAAGCAGACCAACTGGATCTCACACATTTTGCTTCAATCTGAACATTTCTTCAGCATGAAATGAATCCACCTGTTTTCCCATCTTTCCATTCTGCCACTCTTATTTTCACAGGCAGACAAGCTCAGCAGAGCCAAAGACACACCTGAGCTGCCAGAGCCGGAGGTGCAGCCAGCTCTCCAAGCTCACAAGCACACTTTGCTTGCATGACGGCTCTGTACATGTGCTTTCCAACCACTCATTTCTGCAGGTAGGAAACTTGGCATGCAGTTTGGAAAGCAGCTGAATGCTAGGAATCGTGGGGGTCAGGGATATGGGGCTCAGTCTAGACCCAGCCACAGCAGGCCAACTATTTGAGCCAGAAAAATAGAGAAACCAACCATCAATTAGGCTGGCAAACAGCTCACCTCTATGTGGCCATTCAGAGCTGCATGGTGCAATGCCGTCCGCCCTCCTCGGTCAGAGACGTTGACGCTGCTCAGCATGGGGATAAGGACTTCCGCGCACTTCACTGCCTTGTTTGCAGCAGCCACGTGCAGGGGCGTCTGCCAGTTCTTGTCCCGAGCATTGACATCGGCTGAGTGCTTAATCAATACTTGCACTGCTTCCTGCAACGGCAGCACAGTTACACCCATAAACAAGCCGTTTGGATAAAGACAAGGCACCCACGTTCTTAACAGCTCGGTCGTGCTACCTTTGCGTATTACTTATGCACACCAGACACGGGCAGGAGGAGGGAAGGAGAACAACATTTATCTGAGCAACCTCCCAAGTTAGGGAAATGGTATTGCTGATTCAAGCGCCACCTTTCCTGTCATTTGGAGCAGCGTCCTCACAATCAAAATTCCCAATTTGATTTCTAGGACGTACAAAGCTGCCTATGCAGAGAGCCCAACCTGGTTGGTTGATTAACCTTCAGTACCTCAGTCATCACAACTGTGCTCTCATTGAAGAAACGAATGTACTTAGTTGAGCTCATTGTTACTTATTAATTATTTACAAAGTGACAAGTATATCATTTTGTGCAGTGAAACCATAGCAAATTGCTGTAAGTTTTATTTATAAACAGGAAAAAGGAGAAAATAAAATAGAATACGTGAAAACAGAATTCTAGCTTTGCAAAAAACGTGAGAATCACAGTCAAGGGTTGATGCCGGTGTCCCTAAGTTAGCATTAGCATTCCTTCCCTCCCCAAGGGCTGAGCACAGGCCAAAGGGTCTTCACTGCAACATCCATTCTGTCAGCTGGAGACCAAACAACATCTTTTAAGGTTAATTTTGTTGGTTAAAAGTTAGTATTTCCCAGCGAGAAAATGTACTGTTCTCTCTTAAGAGACTGTCTCACTGGAGAATTCACAATCAGTTCTTTTCTGCATCTGCCATTAAGCAAGTCAGATGAAAAACCCCAGTCTCCCTCAAAATCACATTTTGTTTCTTCTTCCTTTTTTCCCCACAAACAAACAAAATACAAAGGAACCACTGGGACACAGAGTAGCATTCAAGTAGCCTTGTCTGCTGAATACAACTCACAGCTGGTAAGCCGGAGAGCCCTAGTCCTACACAGTACCTTATTCTCTTTTACATAAACGGAGAAGTTTTCTGGTAAGCCCATCCAAAATTTTATTAATGAATAACACACACATACAGTGGGTTTCAATACCACTTTTGTATCTAGAATGGCCCAGGAGAGTGCCTGCAGTCTGTATCAGCAATACCTCCATTAGTCTGAGGTTTAGTTCTTTATCCTCAATCAAGCTCAGCACCTCCATTCTCTACAGCCATCTCACAAACTGTCCTCTAACAGATTTGTTCAGTTAGTGACATTGCACTTCTTACAGCACCAATAATGATATATGACTGTTGATGTCTCAACAGGATTTTCTTTTTCAAATTACAGGCATACTATTTTAAAAGTCATTTAAATGTAATGCACTGG